AGGTGCTCATTCTTTGCAGATCACTGTCCGAACCTCCGGATGCGAATTCTCGCCTGTCTGTGCGATTGTCGGTGGCATGCTGGCTCAGGACATCTTGAAGACGCTGGCCGCACGGATCCGCCCATCGCCAACTTCTTTACGTTCGATGGCAACACCGGCGCTGGCAACGGTGTGTCGAAGTCCATGCCCTGATGTAATGCAACGTGTTGAGACAGCGTTATTGTGAACTACATGGCTTCTGAGCCTCATTGACAAATGACTGCCAGTTCGCTCAAACAGATGGGTAGATATTTACGCTCGCTGTTGATTTCTACACGGGCCACCGGAGGCTTTCGGTCCGCGCGAGCAGACATAAACCACTGGGGACACATGTGCCATGGGGAAGCGTGGGGAAACATTTGAGAGACAAGTCACCACGTGAGATCCCTATTGAATCAAAAGGCGAACCAACTTGGGAACAGCCCTTCGGGGCCTATATGGTGGTCAGCCGGTTCATGTCTCTTCGTCTGCTTGCCATTGCAAGCGCCCGACCATCTGCAAATACGCATGCCTACCCGGTTCTCCGATTTCATCGCTGTCAGTCCAGGAAATGAAGATGCTACGAAGCTGTTTTCCGCAAAAAGTAAAAAGGTGCAAGCCATAGCTCGCTTCTTCGAGAACGCCCGGATGTTTTGAAGATGTCGCTGGGCCGCGACCTTGAATTCGTTTGCCCTGGATGCGTCCAATTGAAGTGAACCGTGCAAGCGGAGTGTGTGCTGATGTCTGACGTCACGGCTGAAGGAGGAACCGGGCCGTCAGGAGTTTCCCAAGCAATCGAAGACAAAACTGAGACAGTCGAGCGCTTGAGATCCTCTCCATACGCGATTGGCGGTTGGGATCAATAGTTCTGCAGTCGACACAAGGCCAGGGCGCTTCGAATCGCGGGTTCCTGCCGAGGTCGACGTCGGTGGTACTGTCAGTGCGGCCTCAATGAGATTGATACATAGTCGAGCATGGGCGCGAGTGTAACGTTGTCTTGGCTATATGTCCGCTTCGGATCTGGACTTGCCCACGCATTCATTGACTTGTGAAAACGACCTCGGCCTGCCTCGCTTGCCTCTGTGGGCTCTGCAAATAGTATTGGCAGATTCCGGGCCGGAAGTATTTTCACAGTACATAACTGATGATGATGGACGACGACAGGGCGAAGTGTTGATGAACTCACGTGTTTGCTGTACCTTGGCTTTAGGTAATGAAGTGACCGCTGTCGATTCGAGGCGTGATACGCATCATTCATCCACTTGTGTAGCCAGCAACTGAGCTTGCCATTTACAGCGGTTCCCGAAAACCTTGAGACTCACGAAAAAAATATTTTGTACGCGTAGACACGATCAATCTTTGATGCCCCCCCTGTCTGCAATAAGCGGCCGAAGCGAGTAAAGATAGTTCTGCCATCCTTGCTAGACTCGTCGACAGTCACCATCCTTCACCATCATTGAAGACAGGGATGTCGTCTGTGCCATTTCATCTCTTGCAATCCAATCCACGATCTCGTCAAGATACATTTCTGGGAAGTCTTGAAGCAGGGAGCTGATATGGTGGAAAGGCATTGAGCCGAGCCAGCCTAGCTCGCTTCGGCCGCTTATTGCAGACCGGGAGGGAGCCTGGAGGGCATCAAAGATCGATCGTGTCTACGCGTACAAAATATTTTTTTGTGAGTCTCAAGGTTTTCGGGAACCGCTGTAATGACAGCTCCCATCCCAGAGCTTTCGAGTTGCGATACAATATGTGTGAGAATGATCGTAGACAGCTCGAGAGCACACCCTACAAGAATCCTGCGACGGCGGCTCGAGCAGCTCTAAGCCCTGTAGGTTAGCATTAGCCGAATCGTGTCAGACACAAGCCAAGGAACCCTGCAGGTGGTGTCTCCCAAAGCTTCGTGCTTGTCGCCCTCCCGGTACTTCAAGTTCATGCCGTTTGTGTCAGCCAAAGCCGTGCAGCAATGGCAGACAGCTTATGATCAATGACAGTCTCCGTACCTCCCTTCTAACACTGTAAACGGCCTGGAAAGGCCAAAAGATAGCCCGATCACGCGTGTTGTGTGGAGTTGCGCTCATTGAGCGCCGCGGCGGCAAATGATGGTGTTCACTAGCCGAAGGGCATGACGTAGTTCCAAGCTTGACGCGTACATATAAGTCAACTTTGTTTTGGCTTCGGGTGCACAACAGTCCAATCCTTCGTTCTTGTTGCTGAAACTTCAATATCCTCGATGGCGGACGCTCTGATTGCCGCTGTGGAAACCGTTGCAGCGAAAAAGCCACCGCAGCACTCCTCATCGACGTCTGTTCCATCTTCCCCGCGCCCTCGTGTCCCTGATCGTCACTCGTCCATGAACACGCCTTCGGATAGAACAGGTCCCCCGCGCTCGATATCTTTCTCTGTCTCTCCATTGGCCGGGAATGGGTCCATCATGTACTCCGGAAACGAAGAAGACGATGCCCGTGAAGATGGGATATTACCATCATCGTTTTCTCGTGCAAATGGATTCCGAACGCCGTTAGAAATGTTGGAAATGCCCGATTGGGAAAGGAAGGGAAAGAAGCGCGAGAGTCGTGCAATGGACGACAGTTGGAACCCGTTGCGGTGGTTGTTTCACGACTCGTCGCAAGACGATCGGTCAGCTATAGCCACTACCGGTGCAGCAAACGAAGCGGAGGATGAAGCACAGGCGACAGATAAGGACAAGGGAGCAGCTCCTGGTGCAGAGCCTGGCGAAACGCGTTCTAGGGTCTACCGTTCTTCGACATCTCCAGAAATCCGCATGAAGACCGCACCAAAGTGGGCGCGTCTACGCTCGCTTATGCCTCACATAGCAAGTCAGGCGCACAAGAATGAAAGTCAACCTCCCTCCAGTGTCACTCCTGCCACTGTCAACATCACGGACGAACTTATCACTGGCGGATTGTCGACGTTGATGTTGCGCATGTGGTTCGAACGCGACGAGAAGGACGACAGACGTATTCCTGTGCTCTTCCATCGTCTCCGCATCCGTGTGTCCGACAGTCTGAATCCTTTGGACGGAAACAAGGCTGTATTCAGAATCGAATGCGAATATGCCAACGGCGCTGTTCGTTGGGTTGTATATCGTCAGTTACGGGACCTCATTTCACTGCACACTCACTACGCCTTCTCGAATGCATATAATCGGAATGTTGATGACCTTCCTGAATTCCCCAAGACCAGTGAGTACTGACCGCTAAATCTCTGCGGATGTTCGTGACCTTTTCCAGGTCTACCCTACTTCAAATTCCTCAAAAAGGAAGGCAAAGACATCGGTGCCAAAGACTTTGCTCGTATCCAACGGGACAACTTGGAAACATATCTCATCAATCTTATTGCCGCTGTTGTACGTCCTCGTCATCCAGATAGCCCCCTTTGCCTGATAGTCATTGGGATAGATGTTCCACCCAGCTGCGAATCGCCTGGCCAGTTTCCTCGAAATCAGTGCCTTGTTTGTGAACCTGGCGAATTCGGGCGGTTTGCAGCTGAAAGCTGGCTACCTCCAAATCGAATCCACCAAAACTGGCGGTGGATTTGGCCGCAAGTCTGCGACATGGAGGGAACGTAAGGAGCCGAAATGGTGCTCAGTGCGGGACAGCTATATTGTCGCAGTGCAAGAACCTGGCGAGGTCTGTTTTTCCACGCCCGGTTTCACTTCTAATGTTGTTGACATGACACACGGCTAGCTGACTGTTTGGGATGTGTTTCTTCTCGACGCTGACTTCGAAATCGAGCGGCCTAGGCGATATTACCGTCAAGGCCTCAAATTTCTTCACCCAAATGAGAGTGAAAGTGAGGACGAAGCTCCTGATGGAATGCTACCGGACGAGAGAATTAAACCAAGTGTGATGGGCTCTATTCGTAGGTCAATATCCCGAATCGCCCGCCCGTCTCGACGGGATCAGAACGGGAACGAGGAGAATCACTCCTCCCCCAGTTCTGGAAGCTCCGCCGCTTCCGACATGTCTGCTGAGCCTGTAGCTATGCAAGATCCATCAACGCACGTCGATCCCATGCAGGACGACCAGTCGGACGTCGAACGCGACTGGCATCCTGATGAACTGGAGAAGAGAAAACGAAAACAGCCTACAGCAGGTGTCTCGAAGCACACATTCTTTATCGTCAACTCGCAGCAGAGGCTCAAGCTCTTTGCGCGCAATCAGGTATTGACGTCCATCGACTCCTGAACGATCTAACGATACGATTGAATCAGAGGCAAATGAAGCAATGGATTACAGCCCTCGAGAAAGTCAAGTCGTCGCCGTATTGCCAGCCAAACAGGTTTGACAGTTTTTCGCCCATCCGGCTGAATGTCGCTGCTCAGTGGCTGGTCGATGGGGTGTGTCTCTTTCAGTTGCTTCCTGCATGAACTCATGTCTTTCCAGCGCGATTACTTTTGGAATTTGTCTCGGGCGTTGCTCTTAGCGAGGGAATCGATCTACATTCATGACTGGTGGCTTTCTCCCGGTGCGTAGCGACATGTGTTCATATCACGTAGCTGACAGAGCACAGAGCTGCAATTGCGCAGACCCAACAAGGACCGGTATCGACTGGATCGCTTGCTGGAGCGCAAGGCTAAAGAAGGCGTGAAGATCTATGTCATTCTCTAGTAAGAATGGTGCAATTTTGCCAGCTCGATATTGAGCCCTGTCACAGCCAGGAAGTCTCCAGCCGCACGACTCCTACTGACAGCAAGTGAGTTAGATTGGTCTGCTCCGGAACGAAACTCCTCTGACTCGTTTCGTTCAGCTATGCCAAGCAACGATTAACATCTCTCCACCCAAACATTCTCGTTCAGCGTTCTCCGTCGCATTTCCAGACCGGGACTTTCTACTGGGCGCACGTAAGTCCTCTTTCGCTCAATTTTGAACTATTCTGATCAAGTGTCAATTCAGCACGAGAAAATGTGTGTAATCGATCAGACGATCGCCTTTATGGGTGGCTTTGATCTGTGCTTTGGCCGGTCAGTTGGGTGAAACAATCCTACGTTCTTCCGATGACATTGCCGCAGTTGGGACACACCGCAACACGTCCTTGTCGACGATGCAGATCCTGAGAGCGGGCAAGAGCATTCAACGATTTGGCCCGGCAAGTTATATCCAACCATCAGGGCGCCTGCTTACCCTGAACCCCAGGCAAAGACTATAGCAATCCTCGAGTCGTTGATTTCCACACTTTGAACAAGCCGGAGGAAGACATGTACGACCGTTCAAAGGTTCCGCGAATGCCCTGGTCAGTGAGCTTGGGGATCAGAGAACGTAAACCCTAACCCTGCCAGGCACGATGTGGGCTTACAGGTGGTGGGCCAGCCCGCCCGAGATCTTTGCAGACATTTCGTCCAACGGTATTTGTGTTATCAATCACCGGGCTATAGACTGATCTCCCGCCAGATGGAACTATCTTTTGCGCAACAAGGTTCGCGGGACGCTGATCGAGGTGGAGTAATGACTAATGGTTGATCACCTTGCAGAATCACACGCGGATTATGCCGTTCTTGCTTCCGCCGCCAGAATTCAAAGTCGGCGAATTGACCGCCATGCAACTGACGGGGACTTGCGAGATGCAGATTTGCCGATCTGCTGGGCCATGGTCACTGGGCACCAAGAAAACCGAGCATTCGATCCAGAATGCGTATCTCAAAGGTCAGTTGGCCGTCGCCGAGACTCTCGGACCTATGATGATAACGTCCACAGCCATTCAACTGTCAGAGCATTTTGTATACATCGAGAACCAGTTTTTCATCACATCGTGAGTGGTCACGTGACCAACTTGGCCTGCTGCCTGACTTGGAAGCAGCACGGTCGTCAATGACCAAAAGATCGAGAACCGGATCGGGGATGCGATCGTGCAGCGGATAATTAGGGCCCACCATGACGGCATGCCTTGGCGCTGCTGTATCGTCATTCCTTTGTTGCCGGGCTTCACGTTCCCTGTGGACCACGGTGATGCCAGTGCAGTGCGTTCAGGTGGATTGCCTGTTTCTCCAGACTGATTGCGGCTCAGATTCGGATTATCCTCGAATGCCAAAACCGGACCATCGCCCGGGGTCCCAACTCAATCTTTGCTCGATTGAGAAAGGAGGGCATTGATGTATGTCTGTGATCCGCTTGCGAGAAACCAACTGACACGCATTGTCAGCCTGACGAGTACATATCGATCTTCTCGCTGCGCAGCTGGGGCAAGCTTCCGGGCGATATTCTCACCACTGAGCAGGTGAGTTGTTCACGTTCAGCTTGAATTGCTCTGCTGACGTCCTTCCAGCTGTACATTCACGGCAAAGTGTGTGTCGTCGATGACCGGCTGGTCATTATCGGCAGTGCCAACATCAACGAACGGTCGCAGCGAGGTGACCGAGACTCTGAGCTGGCTGCGGTCATCCGGGACACAGATATGATCGACGGGTGCGTTCTTTGTCAAAAGAGCGAGGTGCATCTTACAATGAGATACGCAGCACGATGGCCGGCAAGCCGTTCCAAGTCGGCCGCTTTGCACACAGTCTCCGCGTTCGGTTGATGAGGGAGCATCTCGGTGTCGATGTGGACAGCTTAGACGAAGAGCACTTGATGGCTCGCGAACCGTCCCAACCGGAGCACGAACAAGAGAAATGGATTCCGGAGACTGAAGATGACGGGTATGTTAAAGAATCACGCGCGGAGCCTGGGCTGCACGGGATTTTGGGGACCGTGAATGGTATCATCAAGCAAGGTGCGCTACATGGCCGGTCTGATTCGGAGCTCTCTTAGCCTCTACAGGGATCCACGGTAGCGCTGAGGCGAGCTCGCACACGACTTCCAAGTTGCTCAAAAAGATTGGCTTGGTGGATCGGTCTACTGCGCAGAACGCGGGGGATGATGCTCTCATCGAAGAGCGGATGATGTTTGATCGAGAGGGTAACAAGGAGCCAGGATTCGCCAGTGCCATCGTTCCTACGCTTGAGGAAAAGATGGTGCTCGAGCACCGACCTGCGGAAGAGCATGCCGATGGAACTCCAATCGAGGAACGCGTCGCGGAAGGAGTCCAGGAAAACGACAGTGGTAATGCACAAGTCGACGACGGGGAGTCCAAACCGGAGCAACCGAGGACGGAAGACGGTGATCTGTTCGGAGCACCGGCAGATGCATCGCAGGATCCCAAGACGGACGATCAGCCGCCGCATGCTCGCTCCAATGTCGACGATGCTACAGACGAAGAGAGGACAGCGCCTCACGCTCGGTCTCTCATTCGAAGACATCTCGCTGCTAAACTTGGGAGCAAGACATGGGCGTTGCCTGTTCCGCGACCCAAAGTTGACAAGGACGCCTTCGAGGATCCTATCTGCGACCAGTTTTGGAAGGAAGTCTGGGTCTCTTCCGCGGCGCACAATGTTCGGGCACTGGTTGGCCTTGAGACATCGATTGCTGATGATGCATGCACAGACTGAGATCTACCGCAAAGTGTTCCATGCCATTCCCGATGATCTAATCACGACCTGGAAACAGTACAAGGAGTTCATCGTTCACCACGAGCGCTTGAACAAACCAGTGCGTGTAACACTCATTCAAACGATTCTTGCTAACGTGTTCAGCCGCGGGATGCAATGACTCCAGAAGCCGTTGCAGTCGTCCCATCGGAAACTGCTGAGGAGGGTGCTGCTGCCGCTTCTTCTGACGGCCGGGACAAGCCCAACGAGGAAGACGAAACTACCAGTGAAGGACACGCCTCAGACAAAAAGAAAGAGAAGACCTCGCAAGCTGGCCCTGAGCCATTCGAGAGATGGGAGCGTGATGAAATGGAGAAGCTGCTTGGACAACTCAACGGACATCTGGTTTTGTACCCCAATCGTTTTCTCGAAGGTAATCCATCTCCTTTTCAAGGCAAGTCTCCGCTGACTGACGGTTGGTAGGCGAGGATGTCGCGAATAATTTCTTGTTTAACTCGGACCGGTGCGTTTGTATAGTCAGCTTATCTGCAGCCTTCTCATCTCCGCCCAGGCTCCTCCCTCTGCCCATCTACGACTAATCTACTGACTGACTCTTATACCCTTCTCGCATGTATGTACATGGACTTTCCGATGTGTGATCTATGTAAGTTGTAAAGCATATACATTTTTGATGGCGCGTGTGCAGTGCAATTTTTGCTGTACGTCTTGGACTTATTTCTTGTGAGACTGTGATAAGTGGGAGCTCAAATGTCGGTCTAGTCAGCGAGTCGAGATCACGTGTATGCGTGACTTGTTTGCTCAGCCTCCATTACCTAATCGCGGCTCCGCGTCTTTGCGACGAACGACGATGAGCTACCCACCTCCGCCTCCAGGCTTCATGCCTCCCCCGGGATTTGCGCCCGCGCCTCCTCCTGGGATGCCCCCAGGAAACCAGGCTTCTGGCTCCAAGCTTTCGCCAGAAGGTGCTTCATAAACTTGATTTTTGTGGACAAAACGGATAACTGACAAAACTGTTAGCTGTGGCTCACAAGTCACAAAAATGGATCCAGATGCAGAGGAAGCGGTATGGAGAGAAGAGGAAGGGTGGTTACGTTGACATGGGCAAGCAGGTGCGTGCAATTGGGAGTCCGTATGCGGCGCGCTTGCTCATTAGTGTCAGGATCTGCCCCCGGAGCACGTCCGTAAAATCATCAAGGACCATGGAGACATGAGCAACCGCAAGTTCCGGAACGACAAACGCGTCCACCTCGGTGCGCTCAAGTATGTCCCGCACGCGGTGATGAAGCTACTCGAGAACATTCCTTATCCTTGGGAGCAGGTCCGCGAGGTTCCGGTGCTTTACCACATCACGGGTGCTATCACGTTCGTGAACGAAATTCCTCGCGTCATTGAGCCGGTCTATCATGCGCAATGGAGTACGATGTGGATGGCAATGAGGAGAGAAAAACGTGACCGAAGGCATTTCAAGCGGATGAGGTTCCCGCCTTTTGACGACGAGGAGCCGCCGTTGGACTATGGGGACAATGTGCTAGATGTTGAACCGCTCGAGGCTATCCAATTCGAGCTGGACCCTCAGGAGGACGAGGCGATCATCGACTGGTTCTACGACCCCAAGCCCCTCGTGGACACGCCGTCAGTGAACGGGTCCTCGTACAAGTTCTGGTCTTTGTCTCTCCCGGTCATGGCCAACTTATACCGGATGGGACGGACGCTGTTGTCGGATCAGCCCGACAAGAATGCGTCCTATCTGTTCGACAAGAAAGCATTCTTCTCTGCCAAGGCATTGAACATGGCCATCCCCGGCGGACCCAAATTTGAGCCGTTGTACCGAGACATGGACACCTTTGACGACGACTGGAACGAGTTCAATGATATCAACAAAGTCATCATCCGTCAGCAGATTCGCACGGAATACAAAGTCGCCTTCCCTCATCTTTACAACTCGCTCCCACGCTCAGTTCATATTGCTCCGTATCACGTACCCAAGAGCGTTTACATTCGCACGGATGACCCCGACCTTCCAGCCTTCTACTTCGATCCGCTCATCAATCCCATTTCCCTGCGGGGCCACATGTCGAAGAATGCCCCTCTCGTGTCTCATGAGGATACGATCTTTGGGCCCAACGGCGCGGATGATGACACGTTCCAGTTGCCTGAAGATGCAGAGCCCTTCTTGGCCGACAAGGACTTGGAGACCGAGCTCACGGCAGACGGTATCGCTCTTTGGTGGGCGCCCGAGCCGTACAACCGTCGTTCTGGGCGCATGCGTCGTGCGCAGGATATTCCCCTCGTGAAGAACTGGTACCTTGAGCACTGTCCACCCAACCAGCCGGTCAAAGTGCGCGTGTCGTACCAAAAGCTGCTGAAGACATACGTGCTGAATGAGTTGCACACCCGACCCGAGAAGGCAATGACGAAGAAGAACTTGTTCCGTCAGCTCAAGAGCACCAAGTTCTTCCAGACCACTAAGCTCGATTGGGTTGAGGCTGGGTTGCAGGTCTGCCGACAAGGTTACAACATGCTGAATCTTTTGATCCACCGGAAGGTGGGTACTCTCTTGCTCGCTGCTTTTCTTCCCGCTCACACAGTGATAAGAACTTGAACTACCTGCACTTGGACTACAACATGAACCTGAAACCCGTCAAGTACGTTTGTAAAGTTTCATTGATCTTCGTTCGAGTTAATGGATATACAGGACGCTGACCACCAAGGAGCGTAAGAAGTCTCGATTCGGAAACGCGTTCCACTTGTGTCGTGAAATCCTGCGATTGACAAAGCTCGTTGTCGATGCTCACGTGCAATTCCGACTTGGGAACGTTGATGCGTTCCAGCTTGCAGACGCGTTGCAATACATCTTTGCTCATATTGGCGCCCTGACAGGAATGTACCGATACAAGTACAAGGTTTGCTGCCTGATGTTTCCTTTTCCTTCGTCGTGCTGATCACCTTGTAGCTCATGCGACAGGTTCGGATGACCAAGGATCTGAAGCACTTGATCTATTATCGGTTCAACACGGGGCCTGTCGGAAAGGGACCGGGCTGCGGGTTCTGGGCCCCGGGCTGGCGAGTTTGGTTGTTCTTCATGCGTGGGATCGTGCCGCTTCTGGAGCGATGGTTAGTGTTTTCGATCCTGGAGAGATCGTTCGCTGATTGTTTTCAGGCTCGGGAACTTGCTTGCTCGACAGTTCGAAGGTCGTAACAGCAAGGGTGTGGCCAAAACAGTGACGAAGCAGCGAGTGGAATCGCAATACGACTTGGAGTTACGTGCTGCTGTGATGCACGATATCATGGACATGATGCCCGAGTCGATCAAGCAGAACAAGACAAAGACGATCCTCCAGCATTTGTCCGAGGCATGGCGATGCTGGAAAGCCAACATCCCGTGGAAGGTGCCGGGAATGCCTACTGCTATCGAGAATATCATCCTGCGCTACATCAAGAGCAAAGCAGATTGGTGGTGCTCTGTCGCCCACTACAACCGAGAGCGCATCCGTCGTGGCGCCACTGTCGACAAGGCCGTTGTGAAAAAGAACTTGGGTCGGCTGACCCGGCTGTATCTCAAAGCAGAGCAAGAGCGGCAGCACGGTTATCTCAAGGATGGACCGTATATTAGTGCCGAAGAAGCGGTCGCGATCTACACCGCCACTGTCCACTGGCTCGAAAGTCGCAAGTTTGCACCCATCCCTTTCCCGTGAGTGCTCCATGCTTCGTACACTCGGCCTTCGGTTGATAAGTTTTCCAGGCCACTGTCGTACAAACACGACACGAAGCTGCTCGTGTTGGCGCTGGAAAAGCTTAAGGAGGCCTATTCAGTGAAGGGCCGTCTCAATCAGTCGCAGCGTGAAGAACTTGCCTTGATTGAACAGGCATATGACAACCCTCACGAGTGTATGTGTTGATCGTCGCTCCCTGACAGCATGCTGAACTCTTCCAGGCTTGTCCCGTATCAAACGTCTTTTGTTGACCCAGCGTGCCTTCAAGGAGGCCGGAATCGAGTTCTTTGATACTTACGACAAGCTCATCCCCTGTTACGATATCGAGCCCGTCGAAAAGATCACTGACGCCGTAAGTGTTCTGTTCCTGCAGACTATCAAAAGTGTTGATGGACCGTCATCAGTATCTCGATCAGTTCTTGTTCTTCGAGTGAGTCCAGTCCACTTCAGTGTAGCTCCTGTCTGATCATGTCCAGAGCTGACAAACGTGGACTGTTCCCCGCTTGGATCAAACCGGCTGACACAGAGCCACCTCCGTTGTTGGTCTACAAATGGTGCCAGGGAATCAACAATTTGACCGACATCTGGGAGACGAGCGAGGGCGAATGCAATGTTCTGATGGAAACGGTGCTGTCCAAGGTGTATGAGAAGATTGATCTGACGCTGCTCAACCGACTTTTGCGGCTCATTCTGGACCACAATTTGGCGGACTACATCACTGCAAAGAACAACACTGTGCTCACATACAAGGGTGCGTTGTGTCTAGGACCGAAAAGAAACTGCAGCTGATGCCTTGCCCAGACATGGCACACACCAATGCCTTCGGCCTGATTCGTGGACTGCAGTTCTCTGCCTTCGTCTTCCAGTACTACGGCTTGGTGCTAGATCTGCTCATTCTCGGTCTCAAGCGAGCGAGCGAGATGGCTGGCCCACCGACGATGCCCAACAACTTTTTGCAGTACCGGGACTCGGAAACGGAGACGCATCATCCCATTCGATTGTATTCCCGATACGTGGATCGTTTGCACATCCTCTTCCGGTTTACAGCAGACGAATCACGGGACCTGATCCAACGGTACCTCTCAGCGAACCCAGATCCGACGAACAACAACGTAATCGGATACAACAACAAGAAGTGCTGGCCCAGAGATTGTCGCATGCGCTTGATCAAGCACGATGTGAACCTCGGTCGTGCTGTGTTCTGGAATGTCAAGCAGAGTCTGCCAAGATCCCTGACGACTATCGAATGGGAGGATACATTCGTCAGCGTCTATTCGCAGAACAACCCACAACTTTTGTTCTCGATGTGCGGCTTCGAAATCCGGATTTTACCCAAGATTCGCACCATCGGCGGAGAACAGTTCTCGCTCAAGGACGCCGTGTGGAACTTGACCAACGAGCAGACCAAGGAACGCACCGCACAAGCGTTCTTACGTGTCTCAGATGATGGTGTTCAGGCTTTCAATAATCGAATCCGGCAGGTCCTGATGAGCTCTGGGTCAACGACGTTCTCCAAAATTGTCAACAAGTGGAACACTGCCCTGATAGGACTGATGACCTATTACCGCGAGGCTGTGATTCACACGAATGAGCTATTGGACTCGCTCGTCAAGGCTGAGAACAAGATTCAGACTCGTGTCAAGATTGGGTTGAACTCGAAGATGCCGTCCCGTTTCCCGCCCGTGGTGTTCTATACGCCCAAGGAGCTGGGTGGTCTGGGTATGCTCTCAATGGGTCACGTGCTTATCCCCCAGAGTGATTTACGATGGTCAAAGCAAACTGATGTTGCTGGTGTGTTTGTGTACTGACGCCGTTGCTGTGAGCTGACCTCTCGTTGGTCACAGTCACACATTTCCGCGCCGGAATGTCGCATGAGGAGGATCAACTGATTCCCAATCTGTACCGTTACCTGCAGCCGTGGGAGGCCGAATTCTTAGACTCTGCCCGCGTCTGGTCCGAGTATTCGATGAAGCGCAAGGAAGCAAATGCGCAGAACCGCCGGCTGACTCTGGAGGATCTCGAAGACAGCTGGGATCGTGGTATTCCCCGGATCAACACACTGTTCCAAAAGGATCGTCACACGTATGTCACATTGTCTGGTGGTCAGCTCTTGTGATTTAATGTCCCTCAGCCTGGCGTACGATCGCGGCTGGCGTGTGCGGACAGATTGGAAGCAATACCAACTGCTGAAGCACAATCCCTTCTGGTGGACATCTCAGCGACACGACGGAAAGCTGTGGCAGCTCAACAACTACCGCGTGGATGTGATCGCCGCACTCGGCGGTGTGGAGGGCATCCTCGAGCACACTTTGTTCAAGGGGACCTACTTCCCTACTTGGGAGGGTCTTTTCTGGGAGAAAGCGTCTGGTTTCGAAGAATCGATGCGATACAAAAAGCTGACCAATGCACAACGTTCGGGTCTGAACCAGATCCCTAATCGTCGGTTCACGCTGTGGTGGAGCCCGACAATCAACCGAGCGAATGTGTATGTGGGTTTCCAGGTCCAGCTGGATCTGACGGGTATCTTCATGTGAGTGAATCATCTGCCATCGGGCTAGTCGCCAACTGTGTGCTTGCAGGCACGGAAAAATTCCGACGTTGAAGATCAGTCTGATCCAAATTTTCCGTGCTCATTTGTGGCAGAAGAGTGCGTGTCTGGATCTTCTGCACTCAACGTATTTCTAAAAAAACTTCTAGTCCACGAAAGTGTGGTCATGGATCTATGTCAGGTGTTCGATCAGGAGCTTGAGCCGCTACAGATCGAGACGGTGCAGAAGGAGACGATCCATCCTCGAAAGAGTTACAAGATGAACTCGTCCTGCGCCGATATTCTGCTGTTCTCCGCACAAAAGTGGAACATTTCCCGCCCGTCGTTGGTTACCGACGTCAAGGATGTCCTCGACGGGACCACGTCCAACAAGTTCTGGATCGACGTTCAGCTGCGTTGGGGTGACTTTGACACGCACGACATCGAGCGTTACACCCGAGCCAAATTCTTGGACTATGTGTCCGATTCCATGAGCATCTATCCGTCGCCAACGGGTGTGATGATCGGCATGGATCTGGCGTACAATCTGTGGAGCGCTTACGGCAACTGGTTCCCAGGAATGAAGCCGCTCATCCAGCAGGCCATGGCAAAGATCATGAAGGCCAACCCGGCATGTCATGTGTTGCGCGAGCGGATCAGGAAAGGTCTGCAGTTGTATTCGAGTGAGCCTACGGAGCCGTATCTGAATAGTCAGGTGTGTTGTGCTGTGATGGTCTCCTGTGCATTGCTGATCACTGGCGATAGAACTACTCGGAGCTGTTCTCTAACCAGATCATCTGGTTTGTTGATGACACTAACGTGTACCGTGTCACAATTCACAAGACCTTCGAGGGGAACTTGACCACCAAGCCCATCAGTCAGTGATTTATTGCGGCCCCTGACCGTGTCTCTGACCTCCATGTGCAGACGGTGCCATCTTCATCTTCAACCCACGTTCGGGCCAGTTGTTCTTGAAGATTATCCACACGAGTGTCTGGGCTGGACAGAAACGACTTGGACAGTTAGCGAAATGGAAGACTGCTGAAGAAGTGGCTGCACTCGTGCGGTCTCTGCCGGTGGAGGAGCAGCCCAAACAAGTCATCGTGACTCGGAAGGGCATGTTAGATCCGCTTGAGGTGCATCTGCTGGATTTCCCGAATATCGTCATCAAGGGCAGTGAACTGCAGTTGCCGTTCCAAGCGTGCATGAAGATGGAGAAATTCGGTGATCTCATTTTGAGGGCAACCCAGCCGCAGATGGTTCTCTTCAGTCTTTATGGTGCGGTCATTTGTCTTCTTATTTGCCGTCGATGGGAACTGAGAGTTTGGCTGCAGATGACTGGCTCAAGTCCATCTCGAGCTACACTGCCTTCTCGCGTCTAATCTTGCTCCTTCGTGGCTTGCATGTGAACAACGAGAAGGCAAAGATTATCCTGCATCCGGACAAGTCGACGATAACCGAGCCGCACTTTGTCTGGCCCTCGTTGACAGACGAGGACTGGATCAAGGTCGAAGTGGCGATGAAGGAGCTGATCCTGGCCGACTTTGGAAAGCGGAACAGCGTGAACATCGCGTCTCTGACGGTCAGCGAAATCCGGGATATCATCTTGGGCCAGGAGATTGCCGCCCCCTCCGTTCAGAGGCAGCAGATGGCCGAGTTGGAGAAGAGCTCTGAGGCGCAGAGTCAAGTGACTGCTGTGCAGACGATGACCACCAATGTGCACGGTGATGCCATTCAGACGGTAACGAGTGAGTGATTACTTGTGCTGGAATCGTGCTGAGTCTGATCGGATGCGCGTAGCGACCAATTATGAGCAAACTGTGTTCAGCAGCAAGTCGGATTGGCGTGTGCGAGCGATTTCGGCCACGCACTTGCCTCTTCGACTGCAGCACATCTACGTCTCCAACGATGACGTCAAGGACGACGCGGCCTCTTACACTTATGTTTTGCCCAAGAACATTTTGCGTGCCTTCATCACTGCGGCTGATCTCAGGACGCAAGTGGCTGCCTTTTTGTATGGCGTGTCTCCTCCGGATAACCCGCAGGTCAAAGAGATCAAGGTTGGTGCTTGTCCCTGACCGAGTCAGACTTGGATTGCTCAAGACTTCCCAGGCGATTGCATGGGTCCCGCAACGTGGAAGCAACAACAGCGTCGAGCTTCCCTCTCAGCTGCCGAAGGACGAGTTTTTGTTCAAGGACCTGGAGCTTCTCGGCTGGATCAAGACTCAGGCGCTGGAGATCAACCATCTGTCCCCGACGGATGTCACGACGCAGGCGAAGATCATGGCTGAGCACCCTCAGATGGGCTCCTCCTCGATCTGTCTCACGGCCTCGTTCACTCCCGGTTCCGTCTCGCTCTCGGCACACTCCCTGACCGTCCCGGGCTTCGAATGGGGCCGGAAGAACCCGGACAACTCGTCCAATCCCCCGGGATTCAATCCGAACATGTCTGAGCGCGTGCAGCTGCTCTTGTCCGACCGCATCCTGGGCATGACTCTTGTTCCTGAGGGCAACGTGTGGAACTACGGCATCGGGCTGACTCAGATGTGGACGCCCAATATCCCCTACGCCATGGTCATCGACACGCCCCTGCTGTTCTGGGCCGAGGAGCACAGGCCTGCAGCTTTCTTGAGTGTCAGTCCCTCTTCCTCCTCAGTCCTCGGCTGTACTGACTCAGCTTTCGCCTTCAGTTTGCCAACCTGGAGACGGGTGAAGACAGTGCTGATGTGGATAACAACTTTGCATGATCCCTTGTATCCTGTATTTTATATCTCTGTAATTTCTTGCTCGCAGTGATGAGTACATTGGACACAAATGTCGTCCCTGTCACGTGCGCTCATTTGTCAATGACGCGTCCACCCATCAAGCATTCGTATTCCGGCGGACTTAACAGACTACATACCATTCCTCTCCTGCAACGCTGATGAGCACTGTGAAACTATACGTTTACGACCTCTCGAATGGCCTCGCGAAACAACTGTCCCAACAGCTTACCGGACGCCAGATCGACGGAATATGGCATACTTCGATCGTTGTGTTCGGAAAGGAAGTGTGGTACGGGCAGGGAATCAGTATTGCTGCGCCGGGAACAAGTCATCACGGACAGCCGATGCAGATTGTCGATATCGGAGAGACCGCTATAGATGAGGCGACGTGGCAAGAGTACCTAGACGAGATGAGGGACTATTACACCGCGGATAAGGTATGTGTGGCGGCCATACATCGAGGAAACTTTGAACTGACAATGAGATATTGACAGTATCATCTTCTAGGTAAGATCTTCACTCTAACGGAGTGTCTGTCTTGAAACCAAGCGGATTGTCTAAGATTTCAACTGTAATTCATTCACCAACGATTGCGCGGGCTTTCTCACTGGCGAATCTATTCCTTCTTTTGTGACAGGCGGGTCATCACTCACCTCTCCGTGTGGCAAATATCTCATCGAATGTGGTCCCCCTCTACAGACTTGCCTACGGACTTTCTGTCAACGCCCTTCGGAGCTGCCCTTCGGCCGACTATTGATGCTATGTACCGACGTCCCGGACCAGCCGCGCCCTTGTCTCCTTCTGGTTCAGTACCGCAACCAGAAGCCATGTCTCTGCTCCAGGCTGTGGCGGCTCAGGCCCAGCGCCAGCAACAATCGACTTCCTCAACAGCAGCAGCTCCAGCGCCCACACCAACTCCCCAACCGCGACCGCTCGCCGCGACCGAGAGTCTGGCCGCCCCGCTGCATCCCGTTAGCAACTCGGCGTCCTTTCGATCGCTCCTGCAGACACACAAAGCCGTGGTGGCTTTCTTCACCGACTATCAGGGATGTGCACCGTGCAGGATGATCGCACCTGTCTTCGAGAGTCTTGCGTTGGAGAAAGGCGTGCGAAGTGGCAGTGCGGGGCGGGGCGCCGCCTTTACGAAGATTGATCTGAGGGTCGGGATGGGCGGAAGTTTGGCTGGGGAATGGGGGGTGAGGGTGACTCCGACGTTCATGTTCTTTTTGGACGGCAAGAAGGTGCGGAAGAGGTCCGTTGTGGACGAACTCAAGACCAACTCATACCGCTCGGCAGATATCTGAGCTCAAAGGTGCCGACCAAGCTGAACTAAGGACACAAATCGATCTGCTGTTATTTCAGGCGTATCCGCGTGAGTGACCATTGTTTCTCAACAGTCCAGGGTCTCTCATATAACCAGCACACCCACACTCATCTCTCGCCCTCCCTGCTGTCAAAGCGCTATCGCTCACGCCGATTTTATTTACCCAAAGCCCTGCATTGGATGCAGTCTTTGCTAAGCTGACTACGCTGATCGATGCCTCACCATCGGCTGCGACTGCTCAAGCCAGAGAAGTTTTGCGCGCTCAAGTGCTACCGTATCTCAAGGCCCGGTTTGCGGCCGCTGCTTCTGTCAAGCCGACGCAGTTGCCGTCTGCCACCCACACCATGCTAGTCGCTTGGGCTTCAGCGACCGCTGTGTTTTCCAATGCGCTGCCGACCGAATCGCTGTTTCCGCTTGTAGATATGTGGCGCTTAGCCGTCCTCGATCCTGCTGTTTCCAGATGGCTCGCGGAGACTCCGAATGCTGGCCCGATCGGCATTCTCATGAGCAAAGCTGATGATGCTCTGAGTTTGTCGATTGAAGAGAAGGGCGCGCGAAATTATGTGCTGACGATTCTTCGACTCTTGACTAATGCATTCGGAAACTCTGCGTTGGGACGGCTTCTATTGGCCGGAGTGGAAAGATCCGCTGTGATCATTATCGTTCCTGCGTTGCTGCATGCGGATGCAGCTGTGCGAACGGCCGCAGCGAGTCTCGCCTTCAATGTGGCTGCTAGCGCTCAGAGGCATCGACAAGCGAGCGGGCTGGGTCTCGGTGGTGCAGCGCAGCCGTTGGGTAAGCTGGATGCAGCAGATGCAGCAATGGCAGCCGACGAGGAGTGGCAGGTCGAGCTGACCAGCGCCTTGGTCGAGGCCATCCAGCGGGAGACTGCAGAAGAAGTCCTCCACCGGCTGGTGGCTGCGCTGGCATGTTTGCTGAGGTACGGGCCTGTGGATGGCGAGGTCACTTCCTTGGCCGAGGTGTTGGGCGCCCGGGACATTGTTCTCACGAAGAGCTCCGGTGTGCAGAAGCAAGACGTGAAGGCGCTGATGCAGGAGGTTGGGACCTTGTGTTCTACGGCCGGGTAAATTATCATTATGTGTAATACGTACATTCTATTAGAAATCACAGGCAATACAACGTGGGCCGTTGAGCTTCCAAATTGTTTCAGATAAGACTGTAGGATCATCTGGTCCAACTAGTGCTACCCGAAGGCCGAGGTATCTCGAGACGGTAACGGTTGACCACCTCGGCCTGGGGCCGTTTCCTTTTTGAGGTGATGCAACCTACTTAGATCGGATCAAAAACCCCAATCCGATCGGTCGTCTTCCCAGGGCACCATTCCGAAACCCTTGTCGAGTCCCATCCCCGCTTCATAGATTTTGAACTCGCAAGTAGCTCAGTCTCTCATGGGCTGAAGAGCTGATCTTATCATTGAAGTGACTACTGGCAGCCCCTGGGTCCAGGGACGTGCACGGACTGTTGGTCCATCTGTTACATGCGCCCCAGCTGGTCATCGCGCGAAGCCATGTCAGCATCGCCATCTTCACGCTCCGCACCAAATTTCTCGTCGTCGCAACCCGTGGTGCGACGTTCATACCATCCAGCGGCCCCAGCCCAACGATCACAGTGGGCAATGTGGGTGGGGAACATACCCCGGGATGCGGATCACCATGAACTCTGGCGCTTCTTTACTCAACCGGACGGGAATCGCACGACTCGCGGAGCTCTAAATAACGGAGTCCAATCGGTCTTCGTCGTGGCGCGCTCTAATTGCGCGTTCGTCAACTACAACGCGGAGGACCAGCTGGCTGCAGCCATCAGCCGCTTTAATGGCCTGCCTTTGCGGTCTGCTGAACACGCCGCCGCCATCGGAAGGACCATGAGCGGCAAAGCCTCAAAGCCGCTTCTTTGCCGTGCTCGTAAGGAGGAGCACGACCTGTTGACCGGAGTGGGAGGTCAGCGGGGAGTTGGTCTGCACTCAAAGTGGATCAAAGATAAGACCCGACATCGGACAGTCGAGGCGCCCCTCACCGTGACCTCAGGTGACGATCCTGGTCACGACACCTGGGATACGGTTTCCAATGCTTCGACATCATCTAGCCTTCTGAGAGAGCACTTTCCGCAGCGATTCTTCATGCTCAAGTCGTACACGCAGGTCGGTTATTTCATCCTGCTTCGTGCCAACTTTTCGGCTGACCGAGGATATCCAGGATGATCTGGATATCAGTCTTGAAACAGGACAGTGGAATGCCCAGCAGCACAATGCCGAGGTCCTCGATCGTGCTTTCCGAACGTCGGAAGAAGTTATTCTTTTCTTCAGCGTAAATAAGAGCGGGGAATTCTATGGATACGGCCGGTACGTGCGGATGTGTGTGTGCCATGCTCAGCGGTCAATGCATCATACAGAATGACGGGTCCGATCACGCTCCGCACTCCTCACATTCACACGACGGGATCTGACGTGCCCGTGGTCACATACAGCTCCACTCACGAGCTTCCCCCTCCGGAGACGTTTCTACCACCGGCCTTACTCGAGGAGATCGAGGGGGATCCAGAATACGACTTTCCTTTGCATTGGATCTGTGTGGATCGGCTCCCGTTTTCACGCACGAAACGGATCCACAATCCATGGAATCAGGACCGGGAAGTAAAGATCTCGCGTGATGGCACAGAGATCGAACCTGAATCCGGGCGAGCGGTCCTCGAGGCCTGGAGAAATCAGAGAGCGAGTCTGCTGCAAGCATCACACCTCAGGGTTTAACGGTTGAGAGGATACATGAGCCATCTCGTTAGGCACTGTGGATATCCGGCACAGTTCTAGCTGCATTTGTAGAAGGATGCGTATGCGATTAAAATGTTCAAGCTGGATCTTGATACGGACTATGTACGTGGTAGAAACACAAGAATGATCATCGATATATATCGGATGTTCACGTGAATGTCTCCGCCACGGCCACGTGATGGGGCAACCACCCCCCAACAATCCGACCCTCCTGCCACGATCCACTACCCGCTATGCACAGTCCCATTCGCACCCATCCTGCGGCAGTGCACAGCCCGAGTCGTCCGTCGTTTCAAGAGACGTCTGCCGAAAGTTTCGAGGCCAGCCTAATGGCTGGAGGGTATGGTGTCTACGTACGTTTTAAAGTCTGCCACAGTCAATGTAAGCGCTGACTGACCCGACTCACCGCAGAAAACCTCAGAATGGATTCGCCAACCACAGTTTGCGGGTCAAGTCACTGCCCCATTCCCACATCCTGCCCCTGCCGTCCCCGGCCCCTCATCCAAGCCACCGCCGCCGAAACTCGAGCTGCCACCGCCGCCCATGTCTGAGAAGCAGAGACGAAAGCAGGCGCGGCTTGATAAATTCCGAAACGGTGGTGTGGGCGTCCCTCAGAAGCTATATATCGGTCAGCTAAGGGGTATCGGCCGGGTCATTCTCGATGAGACGCCGACGAACGGATTGTATACGGAGGTCACTGCTGCTGCAGCAGCCCGACGGCCCGCTGAAGAACGGCGGAAGCGGAAAGCTGCCGCAGATTTTGCGATGCGGGAAAGGGAACGCAAGGAGCGGGATATGGTGTACGAGGAGGTGCCGTCACAGCCGAACTGGCCAGACCACGATTTCCCTTGGTGCCTACAGGAGAAGAGGCGACTGATGCATGTGGAAGAGGACAAGAATCTAAGGTTGAGGGCGCTGGCGGATTTTTTTTCAGGTGATACGGATGATGAGGAATTGGAGGATGCGGTGGAGAAGAGCTTGAAGGACAGGGATACGCCGCCGCAGCAACAGCAGCAACAGCTGCCACCGTCGCAGGATCCTGCGCCATTGCAGGCATCGCTTGCCACTCAGTCGGAATCCGCGCCTGGCGTTCTCAGTTCACAACTTGAAGACCATGTGTCTGTGACATTGGGACCAGCCCCCTTAGCTCAACTGCCCTTGTTGCCCATGGACCCATGGGCAAGCTTCCCCCCCGTTCCCATGATGGTGCCCCGGATGCAGGTCCCAGGCCCGCATTCGCTGGTCTTCACCCAGCCCATTCTTAATCATCCATTACATGCCGCATCGCGATAAGTTCTTCTCCCACTTATCTATGCCTATTTCATATAGGACTATATGGATAGCGGAATTTTTTTGTCTAGTTCGTTACATATAGAGAATGCGGAAGATGATCTCATGAGATTTCGGTGGGTTTTCCACTGTAGTGTGAGCCTCAGAGTGCCTTTTGAAGGTCGTTCCTGCTTCGATGACACTTTGAGTGACGCCGACCACGCGATCGTTTCCTATAGCGGCCTGATCTAACCGCGGAACAAGTATTCGCTTTTCTCCTCCCACCGTCAGCTACCCAGTCACGGTCCTCGACCCCCCGGGTCATGCCCGCCTCGCTTGTGCTGCGAGATCCTTGGCCAGAGCGTACACCCGAACCGAGGGCCGCAAGCAAGGCCGGCGCCATTTCACCGCGGGATGCAGCTTACAGGCTCCGTGTCGGGACGTCCAAGTCCAAGCTTGCACGACAGATCGTAGCGGACCAGAGCACCGTCGGTGAGTGGCCTTTTCACTCCTATGGCTTGAGCTAAGGCTGCCCGACGCAGCGGCTGCCAAGACACAATGCGAAACGTTCTCTGGGAATGAGGTCATGTCGTGCTTCCCGACTGCTGACATCGTCATACCACAGCATCAATGGGCTACTTTCGTTTGTGCGTTCGGGCGATCCTCTCAACGTAACCAGTTGCTCACGGCCCTCTAGGGAACTCAAACAATCCACTTTTTGTTCAGAGTAACCGTGTCGACGTCTACCTATTCCACGGAGACTCGTTACAGCAAATTTTTCGGATACCCAATCTTGTCAACCCGAAGAATCAAGCTGGTTCTGTCACTGCGCAGGTCAACGATTCATGGTGGGGAACCCGAGGATCCAACTGGGCGGGGGTGCGTTGCCGATGTGAAACGCCATTTTCATCTCTGATGCGCGACCTACACAGCAAAACATTTCATATCCCTTCTACTGGCTTATCCAGCCCGCGGGGGAGAGTCTCACAGATGGTCTACAGAGACCCCAGGCCACTTTTTCGGCCGTTCGTACGTCTTCCATTGTGATTCCGGGGTTTGGGTCCTGACAGCAATGCCAGAAACCACGTTCGCGGACTCTGTTGTTTCATCCATGCTATCTAGTTCTTCTGTTGCGTCTCTTGCCTCCAAATCGGCTTCCCTTGCGTCGGTTTCACTTTCCCTGGCCCATCAGACAGCTACAACGACCACAAGTGCTGCCGGGGGGTTCTCGACAGGGGGCCTGGTCACTGGATCCGTCCAGGCCAGCACCGGCGATCCGTTCCCGTCTTGGGCGATTGGGGTTATCGTTGTTGGACTCGTCCTATTGGTGTCGGTCGTGGCATTGATGCTTTTTGGCATCTATTATCTCCGAGAGCGGGAACGACACCGGGGCGGACCGTACTCTCAAACAGGTTCTCCGCTGTCTGGGGGCCCTGATATGGCGCAAGCAGACGAAGCCATTGTCGGTGGCGCTATTGGTGCAGGTGGCGGGAATCGACTGGCGCGGGAATCGAGCACCACCTCACATGGGCACCGGACGTCGCAGTCGCTCTCTCACGGGCACTCTCAGCGGACGACCTCACCCGATTCGGCGCTGACCCGAGCGTTTTCGGGTGCGGATGCTGCTATCATGGCCCAGGCGTTCCGCAAAGAACTTCGTCACGCTGGTGGCCCGCTGGATGAAGAAGAAGAGGACCCGGAGGGGGCCAGGACACCCGTTCGCCATGAACACGATACCTTGCTGTGATTCTTACTCACATAGATGTTTCTTTCTCCTCGGACTTATCCACTGTATTGTAAGTGGTCGTTACCCCTCGTTTCTTGGACAAGTGAAGATATCATTATTTGTACCTTCTTGTATTCACATTCACATCGGCATCGGTATCCCTATTCCCGCTCCTCACTCGCTATGTCTCGCGCGGGTTGATTTCCAGAAGGCATTTTGGTTGGAAATTTGAGCATCTGATTCAATCTCTCCATAGTTTAGTAGTTGATATGGAATTTGCGGATATCGTTCAGACAACTATCAGCGGCCAACCGTCGGCGGGATTTCAAGAAAGACGAATTAGTCCTTCCAGAAGGGACTGCTGCCTTCGACCTTCGCGCAAGGCACAGCAGGCTAAGCAGTATAAGGGAAGGGTTCGGGAGAGTCCGAGCGACGCACGAGATGCAGTCAAAAGACTTGAGGGTGGTTCGAATCTTCGAATCGTCCACAGTCAACACACGGACGAATGGTCCGAGCAGACGCGACCAAGCCCGCATTATCATGCTCCGTTGATGATGCATCCGCAGGCATTACACCTGGAGGTGGAGGGTGTCGTCAGTATCATCCGGGAGGGCGCAAAGATTTGCGAGGCAGAAACGGACGAAAAGCCGACTCGCAGTCATTCAGATATCGATCCAGTCTCGAAGTCTGGGAACAGCTCGAGACTTGGCTTGCATCGTACTGTTTCACAACTCCACCTCATCTACTCGGGCGGAGAGCCTGTCCAGGCCGCGATTGTTTCAATCCCTTGGATTGATCTGAAAACACGTATCACGCACTTTGTCGCGAATACTACGTTCCCTAGCAGTCAGGGTTCTTGAAGACTTCACCAGAATAATTCCAAAATAACGACTGGATAAGCCTTCTTTGTGACAGGACGCTGAAAATGGAAGAAACGAAACCAACGAGTGAACAAAACAAATCTTTTGCATGTCCTTGGTCAGGCACGGAACAGACACGAGCTCTACATTGTGCAAACATGATCGTAGAATTACCGGCCATGCTTGTGTATTTGCAAACGGCGACTATCGATCTACCTCTCTGTGTGCAGGGATCAGCACTGCGCCCTCTGATGTTAGCGAGAACATACCCGAACACGAGATCCTGGAAACATGATCAGCATTCAGTCATTCCAGAACAAATGCTCCTCCACTCACCATGGTTCCGATGATGGCAACGGCATCGGCAAGGAAGTGCTGCGGAGAATTCAGTAAGACGATTTGGACAGTCAGCGTAACGCACATCTGCGAAAACGAGCACCGGAATGAGTCGATTAGAACGGATGGGTGGGTAAAAGGGACGTACGACGCATCATGAAGTCGGAGCCAGCAAGGTGGGCAAAGCCGGGAGCCCGGATGGCGCAGCGGTAGGGACGGTTGGTGCCATCGGAAACCAGGTAGACACCCATTTCGCCTTTGGGAGCTTCGATGGCGCTGTACGTCTCACCGGGGGGCACGGTGTAGCCCTCGCTGAAGATCTTGAAGTGGTGGATCAAACTCTCCATGCTCTCCTTCATAGAGGCCCTCGGCGGAGGGACAAGCTTGTGATCATCGACCTTGACGGCACCAGGCGGCATTTTGTTCAGACACTGGCTGATGATGCGCAAAGACTCCCGCATTTCCTGCACACGACACAGATACCGATCGTAACAGTCCCCGTTCTTGCCCACGGGAACGTCAAACTCGACCTGGTCGTATGCATCATACCCATCTACCTTGCGGATATCCCAGGGAATGCCGCTGCCCCGGACCATCACCCCACTGAATCCATAGCTCTGGGCATCTTCGACAGTGACAACACCGACACCAACGGTCCGCTCTTTCCAGATTCGGTTCCCGGTCACGACCTCCTCGATTTCGTCCACACGGGATCCAAACTGAGTTGCCCACAGGAAGATGTCATTCAGCAGACCGTGGGGGAGATCGAAAGCAACACCGCCAGGTCGCACATAGGCCGAGTGCAGTCGCGCACCAGAGACACGCTCGTAGAACTCCATGAGCTTTTCACGTTCTTCAAAACCCCATAGGAAGGGTGTTAGCGCTCCAACATCCATGGCGTGTGTCAAGACAGCCATAAGGTGGTTTAGAATGCGGGTGATCTCGCCAAAAAGGGTGCGAATCCATTTGGCCCGTTCTGGGACCTCGATGTTCAAGAGCTTTTCCACTGCGAGAGAGTAGCACAATTCGTTGGTCACTGAGCCGAGCAAAGTGAGACTCGAAAAAAAGCGGTAGAATAAGTGCTGGCTTACTCATAGACACGTAGTCCAAGCGGTCAAAGTAGGGAAGGGCCTGAGTGTACGTCTTGTACTCAATGAGTTTCTCTGTTCCACGGTGCAGCAGTCCAATGTGCGGATCGGCACGTAAAATTTCTTCTCCATTCAGCTCTAGGATCATACGGAGCACACCGTGCGCTGCCGGGTGTTGAGGACTAGAGAGTAGGTTGAGTGAGCAGTGGTCCAATCATACCGAGCAATGCCTACCCAAAATTCACTGTAGAAGGTCAGCCTACGAAGGGAAAGTAGAATAAAGACGAGCCTGTGAAATGCCTAAGTTTGTTATCCGTTCGGGTGCTGCCAGTCTCCTTGAAGATTTCCTGTGCCGTCATTCCGCGATAATCCTCAACTACGACATTGGAATCTGAGTCAACGCCTCCATCAACAACATGGTAAGTCCCTGAAGTAGCCTGGGAGCGAGTGAGCGAGCTGGACGAGAGGGCACGCGGGCCAAGTCGCCGCAAAGGGCGCGTCGCCAGCGAGCGGAGGGGAAGCATGAGATGCGGGTGTGGCTATGCCGAACTCGGGTGACCAATGGCATCACGCCTCACACGTGAGCCAAATTTCAAGCACTTGACTTTTCATTCGAACGATGGTAGAGGTCTTTCGAAGTTGGTCAACGAGCTTACACTGATGGAATTCCTTGCAGTCCCACCCTGCTCAACGAGTTGCGCGGTCCTTGACGCGCTTTGGGCGCCCTCCACCCATCAGGAAACCATTGCGACGAGACTGGCGAACGCGTCTACCTGTCCCGCACGTCCGAGTGTTCGGCCGAGAATATGCCCCAAATCGTGTGGAGGACCACTACTACTCGACAGTGCAGGATAACGCCATGTACATGACCTACATCCACGAATCTGGTCCGCGCCCTCCGCCACGCCAAATCCGTCTGACCCACGACCCATCTAATCCATACTCGCGCTTCAGACACAATCCCCCCGTCGGTGGGTCACAGTTGGGGAAAAAGCCGCCACCACCTGACACGGCCGAAAATGTCGTGCGCCTGGAAAAGATTGTGATCCACTCCTTCATGAAGCAGGCCATCGGGCAGCGGTCCAACCTCCTCGGACTCATCATGGCCCTGCGAGCCATTTCAGGGGAGACCGAGAAAGCTGCCGGGCGACATGCCGTGTCTGGTGTGCAGCTTGTGCACGGGAAAAAATCTGTGGGAGGATGGATCAGGCCCGGTGTGCCTGTAGGTGCGAAAGTGGAGTTGAAGGGTGCCCACATGTACGACTTTCTCGCACAACTCGTCGAGTTTGTGCTGCCTCGCCTGAAAGACTTTCCTGGTGTCCTCCTCCCGCCGCCATCTACCTCGCAGAACAGTCCTAGTGCCGTCTCCGGCGTTGTGTCGATTGGGCTTGGTCCTGCAGCAATGGCTTTCTTCCCGCAAATCGAGGTCAATGTTGATGCATATCCGAGAACTTATGGTATGCACATCCATTTTGTCACCAACGCGACTGGGGTTGGTGCCGAGAACCGAGCGCGTGCGTTATTGTCCGGGTTCCAGTTACCTTTCACTCGGAGATAGTTTTTGCTATGTATCATAGCGAACAGCATTAGAAATCACAGTAGCACTACAGGGTACATGCAGGATAAGTTATGGAAGTCCAGCAAGTGCTCGACAACAAGAGACAGCAGTGTTAAAAATACAGCACATTACTCACGCCAACTCGTCCTCCGGTTCAGCAGTAATCCCATCTTCGTTCCAGATCCCGATGAACTGAAGACAATGAGTCCCCATACCAATCATTAGATCACAAATACTAACAGCAGCTTTCTGAGCATCAGCATCGGCGGTGGTCAAGATGGGCGAAGTAGCATAGTTCAGGCGATCCCAAGTGAAGGACAGCTCGGGTCTCCTCATTGCCGGCTTATCTCCGAGTGCACTCTTCTTGCCAAGAACGAACTTGGAGCATTTTCTGAAATAAAAGTCAGGAGGCCCAGATGGGCAAGGATCAAGTCGACGCACTCCTCTGACAAGGAGTATATGTTTTTGAGAAACGTCTTGAGCATCATGACCATGCAAATGACCACAGTAGCCCTCATCAGCGGTGCCCGGTCAACGTCCACATCCATGGCATCCGATGCGACCTCCCCTCTCAGCTGTGTAAGCAGATTGGAAGGGGACACTAGCTCGACTAGCCGCATTCCTTCGGTCGACAAAACACCGGTCAACTCTTTGATCACGGTGATGGGCTCCTCCTGTGTCTTGTAATCTAGTGCTGCGAAGTTCTCTGCCATGTACCGCACGAAGTCAACATCGTCTTGGGTCGCTTCATCACTTTTGGGAAGATGGAATGCCTTGAGCAGAGATCGGAGAAACTCTTGTCGAGGTGCTCTTTTCTCCCTAACTAGCGAGTACCACGGGTGCAACAGCGCAACATTCTTGCGTGATCCGCAAACAAGCCCCCGCTCGTTGATCTTGCGTTGGTAGTCGAATGAGATCCTGGCACTGTACACGAAGCGTGAGTTGAGGAGTGAAGCATGCTTCTCATGCATAACAGCGTGCAAAGCCCCCGCTCTGCTCGCCAGATTTGGATTCGGACTAGTCTCGAGTGCGACGATGATCGGAAACGACTGCAACGGATGCGCCAGCCCCTGTTTGATGGTGAAAGTCAATACATCTACCGCGGCAGCTTGGATAGCGGGGTGTTGGCTTAATGCAGCGTCTAGAATGTGCTGCATGTAGCGCTGTACAACTGCAGAACTCACACTGTCCCAGGTCTGAGTCATGGCTGGGCGATGGGCAACGCCACGTACCCCGAGTCGGCAAAGCCATCTGTATTTCCGACCAACTCATCCATGTCCACTGCCCCGGCCTTGGCCTTGGCCTTGAGAGAAGCGGAATCCTTCAGTTTGCTCGAGTGTTTGATCGCCTCCGAGATGAGAAAATCTTGGATGATTTTGAGTAATCGCCCACGTCGCTCCTCGTCCGATGACGAGAAGATATCATCCATTACTGCCGCAGACCGCTCTGTCGTCATCAGCGTTGGCTGGGCTCGGAATAAGAATCCAAGGCACTGAAGGATTCGACCCTTGAGAGAGGCATCTTCGCATCTGGCATAAATCCGAAGCAAGGTATCGTAGATATGCTCGACGACAGTATATTGTCCACTGATGCCGTGCAAATCATTCGTGATGCCTTCACACGAACGTCAGGGCTGGCGTGACGGACGAAAAAAAATGGCTTACTGGGCGTGTTCTCGCGAGCCTTCTCAAAGTCGAAGTGCTCTCCAAGCAGAGATACGATGACAACTAAGATCCCCAGCGTTCGCAGATCTGCGGGCGCCAATTGTCGGCCAGCCTCGAGTTGTCTCAAGCTTTGCTGTACACGCACTAGCGAAAGTTGAGAAAGAGGAAAACGGAATAGAACATACACACTGTTGCACGACTTCAGCAGCGCTACAAGCCTCGTGAAATCGTGTGTTAACATCTGCACTACTGTGCACATGCAAGACACAGTTTCCTGCAGACCCTGCAAGCCGCCTATAGACGATGGCTTGATGATCATCGGTTGCAGAGCAGCCTGCAACTCCTGTCCGAACTTGAGCGCCGTCTTCGGCAGATGACCCAGCGATGTCCGGAAGATCTTGAGCAGGTACTCGCTCGTCGCTTGTTCCTCTAATGTGGATGCAGACTTCAAGTATGGCAATAGCGTGGACGCATTCGAGTCGGAGAGAACAGCCGGATATGATGCAGTGAATAAATAGATTGCTCGCACGCAATTGATCACAGTCTATGCAGTCAGTCGACCAAGATTCATGCGCTCACATCGACGAGACACTCACAAAGCCAGGCAGATCGGAAGCGTCAACTAGACCATCGATCAGGGTCTCGCAGATCTCCGAATAGCGAGCGTGGAGGCCTGCAGCCTCGGTGCCCTGCTTTCCGGAAATGATCTGATGTAAGATGTCCTCCAAAGGAGACTGTCGGTCATTGAAATTAGCCGATGTGCCCATGATCACAACCACTTTCGACAACAGGGCGGTCTTATCCTGGCCTGAGATTGAGGCTCGAGATTTGAGTGCGGAGGGAAGCGTCACAGGGAACCACAATTCCTCAATGGCTTTGCTCGCCAGTTCTTGGACCGATTCGTCTTCATCTGCCATTCGCTTGACGAGTCGAGTGCATATATCCACCTTGCGCTCCGTATCAGTGATGATTCCATAGAAAGTCTTGAGAAGTTTGATGACGCGCTTGCGGACTGCCAATCCTGTATCCTGCAGACTGGTCGAGCGCATTCTTACGAGGCAATGAAGGTATCACTTACCGCAATGCGGTCCGCGATTTTCGTGTAGTAATCGCCTGCGACCTGGGGCCAGTCGATCATGTATTTGCCGATCAGCTCGACCGCCGCATCCCGCACAGCAGATGAGCTATCCAGCAAGGGACGCTCGATGCCCCGCCGCACGCTCGCTTCACCGAGAATGGTCGGATCACTCATAACAATTTGGCCCAAAGCACGCAAGGCTTTGGTTCGCATGAAGATCGCCGGCGCGTCTAGTGCAGACAAGATTACATTCAAAATCGGCTGGAATGAGTTGCGAAGCGTCTGAATCGAACCGATTTCTTCCGAAAGACGATCAATGCGTTGAACCTCCTCTTGGGAACTGCGCCAATCAGGCCTCGCAACGGGAGAAAGCTCGACAGGCTTACCCAACATCAAACACATCCTGCGCCTGATCTTTCCACACGTTATGCATGGCCGACTTGAGTTTCTCCCCGAACGCCTTGAGCTTGCTTTCATCTCGAATGGCCCCCTCACCATCGCTAATCATCCACAGATTGACCTTCTCAAGAGCGACTGACAGTTCTTGCGCAAACGTCGCGGCCGTGAGCTCTCGAGCGCTCTATTAGAGGTGGGTGTTGGAAGCTCGCACAGATATCCAAGGAAGAAACGTACCGCATAGGCTTGCTCCTCTTCTGACCGTTTGATGAGATGGGCAAATACGTCTTGGTGTGCAGATAAAAGCCGATCCAGCGACTTGATCTCAAGGGTGGACGTGATCTGCAATAGTGCTTTAGGAGGCATGTGCATCTATACCGGCTACAACTTACGCGATCAATCGACTTGAGGGGCTTGGCAGCATCGGCAAATTTGAGCACCCCACAGCGGATCCTTGCTGCAATAATGCCCAGATGATCCAGAGCCATTGTCTTGGCCGCATTATTCGCGTCACCGGAAGTCTTGACATCCTCTAACGCGGCCACCATGTACTTCGTCACAATGTTCAGGATAAAGCTGGCAGCAGGATACTCGGGCCAATACAGCACCGCGAGCAGATCAGAAATCAGATTATCAAAGATTCCACGATACTCGGCTTCGTTGCTCGTTTTCGTGGCTTTCCCTTTCCCTGAGCGCTGTGTCAAAAAAGCGATGATTTGTTTTGCGGCCTTTGTGGCTGATTCAAGACCAGACCGATACAAGCGCGTTTCAGCATGGTCTTGTTCATCCAGAAATTCTTCCTGCTGATGCAGTTTAAGTTGACTCTCAGTCAGACTTTCTGCCCGTTTCAAAGCAAACTTGTTGCGCCGTTCTTGTGCAATGTTTTGTGCTTTGAGCCGAACGTCATGCGCCGAAGTCTGAACGAGCTGCAGTAACAGAGCGGAAACCGTCCTGATTGTCCGACCGTCTCGCAGTCTGGATGGGTCAGAGCCTACGTTCCCAGCCGGGTTCAGACAAACACACACCGAAACTGGCCAGCCCTTTGCTTGGAGTCGGACAATTTGATGAGCGATGTCAAGATCTCTTCAATGATCCAGTCCCGCTGATCACCATGGTTTGCGAAGATCTGCGAGGTGTCAGAGATGGAAGCCAAATCGATGGACATGCTGACCGCTCGAATCAACGACAAGGCATGCAACCTCAACCCTCTCATTGCACTCTTTCCGAAGGTCCTGATCACAATCGCACTATCCTTCTCCTTCTTCCCACTTCCATCTTCACCCGAATCCGCTACAAAGAAAGGTCCAATGGCAATATAAACCGACTGGATTATGATGTTATCTGACATGGACACCGAGTCCGCATCGACCAGTGAGCTCAGCTGCGGGAAAACAGCCGATATCACCTGGAAAAGCTCGCTCAACACATGTCGATGAGCGCCCTGCCACACAACGTGATCAAGCTGCACGCTGATTCCTGCCGAGCCTGGTATCCCGCCCGATCCAGCTGCAACTTCTACGAACGGATAGATGATTGTTGTGAGCTGGTTTTTGACAGCATTCATGCATGAAGTAATGAGCTCCTCCGAGTACAGCTGCTCTGAGGTTAGGACCAGATGCGGCTTGTGTCAACAAGGCCAGCACAAACGAACCTGCTTTGTCAAACGTCCAGAACCTAACAAGGCGAGACAGCATTGGACTGCGAAGATGCTATCCTTTCCAATCTCTAGAGCGCGGCTGAGCATTGCATAATCCAGATCGGATAGCTCGACTCGAGCAGCTGGGGAATCATTGAATGCGGTCCCGATTTCATCCTCTCGTTGCTTAGCCTTGCCCTTCTTGATTAGCTTCTTGGGGGAATTATTAGGAAGAGATGCTGCTGCCGGTGTCACGACGGGACCCGCAAACGGATCAATATCCTCGCCGGCTTTGACTGATCGCTCGAGCAGCTTCAGAATACGAGACAATATCGCAGTGTCCATATCTGCGATCGTTTGATCCCTGGAACGCGGTGTGCTTGTCGCATTGGCATGTCGAACGCGTTTCGTGGGTTTCCCTACCTGGCCGATGTATTTCGTTAGTTTGCGGACCGTTGTAGTGGCGAGCAGGGGCTGAGAACAATCGACGGTCGTCTGGCGCGAGAAAAAATCGGGAAGGGAAGCTAGCTCGGTATCTGGGGCAAGCGAATCTTCTGCTTCGAATATCGCTTCGAGGATGTAGGTGAGCTTCTCAAGTGGGGCACGTTCATCATGCTCTCCGGTGCGTCGAGAAGAGGTGACTATGCCACTGGAGCTGCGTCGTTGGGGACTGCTGTCTGATCCATATCCGCCCAAGTCATCTGGCGATTGGGCACGGCGTTTGTTGGGAGATGCCCACGGCGAAGACGGCACCTCAACGTACAGCATCTGCATCCGTGGTCTTGATGGCGTTGAAACCACAGATGTAGGTGTGGAAGGTGAAAATCGAGACCGTGGACCTGTGCTCGGTGTCGCTGGCACAGATGTCGGCGCAGGTGAGTGCAACGCGCGCTTCACAGTAGGGGATTCAAGCTGCGTCATCGATTTACGCTTTCGGGGCGTAAGAGCAGGAGTGATGATGGCCAGAGGATCCGGACTTTCATCTGTTAAGGCTGGCACTCGAGTCTGGGGCGTTTTGGGGCGGACTGGCGCCAAATGGGACTGCGATACTGCTTCGGAGAGCGGTTTGGACGCGACGACAGTCTGATCCAATCGTCTAGCATGGTCCTCGAGAAAGTGTTCAAAAAAGGCGGTAGACTGTTGGGGCTTGTAGACCGTGTGTCCGTTCGAAGGTGGTGGGGGACCAAGTGCACCGGCAAGAGATGATGAAGAGGTCGCCGGCGGCGGCGGTGTCGGATATGCAGTGGCCGGGTTAGTTCTCTGGATAATGGCTTGAGCAAATGGATTTGTCCGATACGACGAAAGTTGCGCATTGGGAGGCGACCAGGCAGAGGGATATGGATAGGAGCTTTTCAAGGAATCATGTTGATCCAAGGCCTGAACAATCAGAAGAGGGAAACGTACGGTTCAGTTTGCTGACTTAAATAATGCGTCGCCTCTCCGCGCGAAGCCTCCCAAAAGCCGGAATCATCTCCTTCAGATCGCACAAGAGATTCGACTACAGAAGGATATTGCGAGTACTGTGGAGGATTGCCCTGAGGATGAGGCGCGTAATACTGCGGTTGAAGGGCAGAGGGAGGTGCTCCACTGAGTGTCAGAGAGCTCAGGTGTCGAGTGACTGGGGTATTTGAGAACAATACATTGATTCATTATTGCGGAGTACGGACCGTGAGCAGACGGATTGGCTGAAGCAAGAGGGTAGATGGCCAACAGACGATGGGACTCCTTGACAGGGTCAGGAGGTTGCTCACCGGTCATCGGAGCGCCCTGAGTCGCGTACGACATGAGGCGCGAGAGTGAGCGCGTCGGGGTATCAAACATGTGCAAACTGATTTCTGCATCGAGCACTCGCTAACGCGCGATTTTCTGTCAGGCTTTACTTCCAACCTCAGCTTCCAATGGCCATATGAAGGCGAATAGAAAGAATCGGGATTGATATGTACTGCGCGCTATGTATGTAGGTGCATGTGCAACAACTCATTCGTCTCCATTTGAGTGCAAACAGTTCTTACCATGCTAAGTCGTCGGCCTTTGCCGGACCCTCCCGTGCTACCAGTGATGGAGTGATGCCCGAACTGGCACTTTCCACTTAGTCCTTTCTCCTACCTCGTCATGCCCCGAGCCAATCTCGAAGCTCCCTCCAGGCTTTCGGCAATTGTCAACAATTTAAGAGGTCTGGACCTCTGTCCAATCAAGTATCGGGGACTGACGAGGATCACTTCAAAGCCCAACCGCGGTTGACTCTACCCCAACTCTCCTCTCTCCGTCTCACGCTCGCGTCTCGCAATGACCACTTCGGCGCTCGGTCAGTCTCACTGCGTCTTATTTAATTCACCCTTCATGCTGAGAAATACAACAGACATTTCCTCAAGGAGCAGCTGCCGCGGATACGTTTTGCAAACCCGGACCTTGACATCAAAGTCCGCAAACTAATCAAACGACCACAAGATGAATGGAGGCCTGAGATTGAGTTGTCTTTCCGTGTGCCTCCTCTTTTCTGTACCAGACTTTAGCTGAACTGACATTAGGTGATGGCAAAACGCAAACAATGAATTTGCATGCACAATGGTCAACCTCCATCGTGCGCAGCCTCATGGATGCCGCAGGTTCCCCTGCGTGGTTCCGTTGGCTGACTGAAGTAGAACGGACTGGGGCGCCAATCTTTCCAGGTCAAGAAAATGCGCAGGAGAGCATTTCTGCCCGTAGCGTTGGCCCTGAACCTCGGTTTTCGTATGACCAATGGAAAGCCAAACACCCTGGAAAGATACGGGATGTGAAGAAGCAACAGAGGGCGGCAGTTCGGCCAGTTGTGCTTGTCGATCGTGCACAGGCAACGATAGAAGCGGGGCAGAGAAAACAGGCGAGAAAGGAGGCAAAACAGGCGATGCTGGATGCACCACGATTGGCTGAGGAAGAGGCTGAAAGACGTGTTGCGGAAGAATTGGCCTCCAAACCTCGCACAGGTGCAGCAGCTATATTACCTTGAGCACATATCGTCACTACAATTTGATTGGTTGGTTGAACGTGGGTTGACTGGACATCTTTCTACATACATATGCGGAATTAAGATTTCCGACTTCTCATCACTTTATTTCGCAAAGCTTTCTCTTTGAGCTCGCTCTCCCTACGCTCCAGCTCGGGTGACTGCAGGTGAACATGGGTGCGATTCGTTCTCACAGTAACAAAAGCACGTACTTTGGTCGGCTGACGCTGGACCTCTGCCTGGCCCTTGATCTTGAGTTCTGCGGGCCTTGAGTTCCTGCTGGAAGACCTGGAAACGTGGCGACGCGATGCAGTATTGGGTTGGTACTCGTTTGCAGGGGAAGACAGTCGACGCCGACGAGTTGGAGGACTACGACTATCACGTTTCCGATCAAAGGTGTCCGAGTTGGCAGAGCGGGAGCGGGTGCGCGACCGAGCTCGGCGTCGGCCAACCACAGGAGACCGCGAACGTGTCCGGGAACGAGAGCGAGAAGAGCGTGTATCAGACATGGAGCGGCGGGGAGGACTACGTCGCATTGGTGGAGGGGAACGAGAACTGTTGATATCCCGTGATATCGAGCGTCTGCGAGATGGGGAGCGGTATCTACGAGTAGGCGGCGTCATGGAGCGCCGGTGCATAGACCTAGATCTGAGACGGCCCGATCTTGGTGAACGCCGGGAAGGCTAGAGAAAGTCAGGAGATATTCGTCAGTTAATTGGAACACAAACAGTGATGCCAACGTACCCCACCGCCTCTGGAACCCCATCCCGTATCTCTTGTGCGCCCTCTTCCTCCCCCTTCCTCCATTCCCCGTCCCTTACCTCTACCTCCCCATCCACCTCGAGCGCGTCGGTTATCAGAGACTTCATCAATTCGAGCGCGTCGGTCTCGCTCATCGAATGTCCTTGTGTCGCTTTCCCGCGCTCTGCGCAACTCTTCTTTTTTCTCTTCAACGAATGTTCTCGGAACACCGGTGACTTCTGATTGAGCCTCTATCAACAAAGACCATAATGCTGCCATGAAAGTTGGGGCGTCCTTGTTGAGAAAGGCCTGAAGACTGAGTTGTAGTTTTCGAGGATCGGGAGCCTGAGGTGCTGATTTCAGCGACGGTTATACCTAGGTGAGTCATGATTCACCGGTTCGTCCAGTAGTTCGAGAGCATATCCAATGAGGATGTCATCCTCGAATCCGACCAATTCTACGATCTTTTTGGCTATCCAGGGTCTGATGACGTTCAGGTTCACTTTTCGCATGTCAACCTAGATATATGAGACAATTTCTAGAGAGGGAGGGCTCCACGAACCTTGCTCTCGAAGTTGGCGGGAAATTTGGTTGATCTGAGGAGCTTTGCCTCCTTGTCGACAAAACGCCTGTCCTGCTCAGCTGATGTACCCTTGAAAAAGCCTGGGAGGGATAAGCAAAAGAATACGTGAGTGGGTGGAGTATACCGTCTCAAGCCTATTCTTACCGGCGTCCGCCATCGCGGTGGTAAGATGAGTTCAATGCTAACCTAGGAACGGTGGACTGCGAGAACACAGCACAAGTCGAACAAGCGCAGAACAAACAATTGTCAGCACGTGTCCCAATTGGGAACACGTCGCGCACTTCCTCTCTCACAATGCCCCGTAAGAAGCCAAGCACCCCCGACATCGTCACAGCGTCCAGCAATGGGCTCGCCTCTTCAACACTGTCGTCACCGCCCTCCCCAGACTCAGAGCGGCCGCTGGGGCCCCTGAGCCTTTCTCCATTGGCTGGCACGCGCGAAATAGTCAAGGTCAATAACCTCAGCGTGACAGAGTTGAAGAACGCCTGCGATGATGCTTTGAAACGAGTTCGCTTCCTTCTTCTGTCTTCATCGCCAATCTCATTGCGTCCCAGTGTCTGTCGCGACCGGAACTCTTCAAACAAATCCACCAGCACACTGACGTGCGTTTGGCGTTGGGCTGGCTGAGTGTATTTGTGGCGGGTGGTACCGGCCTGTATGGATACAAAGTAGAGTTCGAGCAAAGCAAACCGGTTGTCTGGGCTGGTCTGATATTGTGCGTCCCACCGTTTATCTTGCTTATTTGTTCGCTGACTTTTCCGCCAGGTACATGCTACTCACTTTCGTGCAAACTTTGTATTCTTATTTCATCGAGGGGGACATTGTCTTTGTCGGCAAACGCAAAACGTTTTCTAAACGTGTGCGTGTCATGACTGTATCATTGACGCGACCTCATTTCGCTTCAGATCGTCACTGAGAGGATAACTCTGTCATCGCGCACAATTCCAGCCTCCATTCCTCCAAAGTCCACAACAGCGGTTCCTCCACAATACGCGCTGGCGCTAACATATGTGCGGTCGACGTCTGCCAACAAAAGCTTGCTCGCCAAAGGCAAGACGCAGACATCGGTGGCTTACTCGCACTTTTTCGATACTGATGGGGTTTTTGATGCCCTTGCGTTCGAACATTGGGTTGGCACTCTTGTTGAAGAGGGCATGGGTGGGGGCGTTTCCGACAAAACGGCATGAACAAGTTTGTATTTAGTCAAGCATTCGTGATTTCATTTTCGCTGTGTCGAGTGAGGATTTTAAAGCTGGAATGGGTACTTCTAGTACCCGCGCTATGCATGTTGAAACCCAAACAATCGCCCAAGCTTTCAAGAGCTGGACCCCCCAAAAAACCGATGATGAATATGCACGCACAGTCTTTTGAGGTACTGTGTTGTATAACTTGTATTCGGACCCTTTCAGATAGGCGCAAACAGATTCGACTTGCCCGGTGAATTATGTCATTATACTGGAGTGAGGTACAGGATAATATTATCAGCAATCGACAGAAGACCGTCAATCTATTTTCTGTGACCCTGAAATCCTCCAGAGAGTTTATACTTTGATATATGACGCAGTTGAGGAGCTTAGGGCGTCGGACCCATCAACCATCGAGACTTGGCCTGAGGGACGCCGAACGGCAAGATCAGTCCCCAGGTCACGTGTGTTTCCTGTGATCGGTGCAACAATCTCACCTGCACGCACTGCTACTTACTATCTCGAAACTATCTCGAATGTCCAGTGACCTCGACGAGTGTGTAACATTGATATGTCCTCTCTCTCTGCTCTACTCAATCAGCACTCACCAGACAGATCGAGAAGCTGAAGCGCTGTGAGCCCATCTCAGAGGAACAAGTAAAACGACTGTGTGTCAAAGCTCGCGAAATCTTAATCGAAGAGGCCAATGTCCAACACATAGACTCTCCCGTGACGGTACTCGTTTTTCGTCTCATTCTTTGTCGCGATTCTGACGCGTTCTTCGTAGATATGTGGTGATATCCACGGTCAATTCTTCGATCTAATGGAGCTCTTTTCTGTCGGAGGGTTCTGTCCAGACACCAACTACCTTTTTATGGGTACGGGGCAGAATCTGGGGTGATACAAACCCATCACTTACTGTCTGGTAGGCGACTTTGTTGACCGAGGGTTTTACAGCGTCGAGACCTTTCTCCTACTACTCGCTCTTAAGGTCCGATACCCAGAACGAATGACGCTCATCCGAGGCAACCACGAGTCAAGGCAAATAACGCAGGTGTATGGATTCTACGATGAGTGTCAACGAAAGTATGGAGGAACCAACGTCTGGCGATGGTGTTGTGAGGTCTTCGATTATCTTGCTTTGGCAGCTATCGTCGATGGACGGGTCTTGGGTGTCCACGGTGGATTGAGCCCCAATCTTGCGACAGTTGATCAGGTGGGTTCTACCTGGGAGGAATCCACACTGTCTTACCGCCATCCAGATCCGAGCTATTGATCGAAAACAGGAAGTACCACACGATGGCACAATGTGCGACCTGTTATGGTCAGATCCAGATGGTATGTGACTCATTCTCGCCGACTGCTCCATTATTCACTTGTGAGATAGACATACAAGGTTGGGGACTGTCACCCCGCGGTGCCGGCTATCTTTTTGGAGCAGACATCACCAAGCAATTTGCACATCTCAATGGATTAGACTTGATTGCGCGAGCGCACCAGCTTGCCATGGAAGGCTACAAGCTGATGTTCGACCGGACAATAGTGACTGTGTGGAGTGCGCCCAACTACTGCTACAGATGTGGAAATGTCGCCTCTATTTTGGAGCTTGATGAACACCTAAGCCAGGAATACAAGGTCTTCTCACATGCACCAGTCGACGTTCGTTCTGCACCAGCAAAGAGACCTCCGGCAGATTACTTTTTGTGAATAATTTATGCAAATCACATGTATGATATCGGTCGTAAATCATCGATAGCCCGTGTAACCGCTGTCGTAGTTGGCCGGCTGGCTGCCAGTGGGACCACTGTGGATAGAAGCGCGGACCGCTGCATACGGGTCGGCGTATTGCATTGTCCGACTCACCTGTGGGCCCAGGTCTTGCTCGGGGATCACAGGTGGTCCGCCGAATCGTGGCGCGGCTGGGGAGAAACCCGACGGCGCTGGATCAGAGAATGCTCCATATGCATCCATGCTCGGTCGTCCAGCGGGTGCCGGAGTAGAGTACCGGTTGGTATCGGAGAATGGGTTTCCAGCACTGGATGGAGGGTCGTAGGCGGATGGGGATCCCGATACACCGCCTTGGCGAGGTCCCGATACATGTTGATACTCTTCGTCGTCAGGGTCATAATCCATTTCGTACTCAGTTGCTTCCTGCGTCGGGTGCGTGAATGGAGGGTCCCGTGCACCGCTGTGCAACTTCCCGGACCGCCAATCGCGAAACAGGAAAGCTAAAGAACCCAGCCACACCAGGAAGGCACCCAAGAAGAAGATCGACCCAGCCTTCTTGGTGCTGCACCACCCACCAAGATCCTTCTTGAATTGGTCTCCAAGCTTTTCGTGGGGGTCCTTGGATGGATTGATGCATCCCGGCTCGGTAAACGCAGAGATGATCGTCGAAAATGCAATGAGCAACGCAAAAGCAGTCCCAGAACCATTCAGGATGAACCCGACTCGCACTTCTCTCAAAGCCCGGGCCAGGCGAATGGCTTTGTCATATTTCTGCACAATACTGAGTCGCGGAAGGAGCAGTCGCAAGACCCGATACCTCATATGCAACAGGGACGAGTAGCATGAAGAGAGGAAGGAATATTCCCATGAGTGACAGAAAGATCGCCAAGCCAGAGAGTCCAGCTGCGAAACTTCAGCAACGCTCGATGATCGCGACAAATACTACTTACAGACTCCTATCTTCCATTTTGCCTGGAATGCTGCCACACTTGCAAAACAGCACATGGCCAGGAAGTTGAAAAATATCTGCAGGGCGTGGCAGACAATCATTGGTTTGGAAATGATCATCTAAGCAACATAATCTCAGTAAAGGTTTCATATCGTATGCATAGATAATGGGCATGCCTCGTCCACGTGGCAATTGAGCCAAGGGACGAGCGTGAACTCCAGAATGCGAAAGACAGATGACACGTACATCCTCCTCGAATGGAGCGTGGCCCACTCCAGCACTTCCTATGCCTAGAGCAGCGGGTGGGGGTCTATTGCTGCTGCGTTCGGGAACAACCTTCGCAACCCCTTCCTTGAACCGTTCAAGGAAATCCATTCGAAGACGACTAGGCGGGTGGTGTTGATTATGGGGATGAAGGTCGGGAGAGGGGTTCAAGAAGAGCAGGCTGCGCTGCTTCGTTCGTTTACGACGGGCTGCGCAGGTTATGTTCAGGATGCGATGCCATTGGTAATATCCCCAGTCGGAAGGAGGCGGTGGTGACATCACTGATCATGTATCGATCACGATTCAACCACTACGGAGTCGGCGAGAGCCCGTGTGCCGCTTTACCCCACATCCTGATGATTCTTGAGGACTTGAGCCGCTGAACTGGAGATGGCCCTAAAGGAACGCGTGCGGAATGTGCTCAAGAGTCTAAAGCCTGAATAACTCCCCCCAACGACTTCGTGTAATGGACTCTCAGGATAAATTGGGATAGAGTGCTACCTAGGAAGAGACCAGCTAATGAACGGACGGTCTAAAACGCTGCAAGTGCCTCGGCCGCCCCCTCTTAAATACCCAAGGGTGTCCGTGAATGTGCTCATTCAAGATGGGAGACTACGACCTTGTAATTGGTGCAGTGTTGGCTGGGCATTTTAATCTCTAGCTCAACGCACAGATACTCACAGGTGTCCTCCTGCTCGGTCTCTTCTTCAACACATACCTCTATGGAATCTGCACGTATCAATTTGTGGCCTACATGCAATCTAGTACGCCTCAAATCAACGCTGTCCCTATAAGGCTTCGTTAACATTTCAAAATTCGCAGAGTTTTGCGATCCTTGGTGGATTCGGTGGGAGCTTCCCCGTTCTTTTCTCCTGCTACTCAAGTGTATATCGCAGATCCGTTGTTGGAGCTCTCTTTGTTATCGACACATTGCACAGTGCAGTGTACAACTTGTCGTTTGTTCGTGGCATCAGGGCTGATTCTCATAGGGCTGTGTACGCGGGGTGGCAATCTTGGTAAAGAGTTCAATCTGTGTTCTCTTGGTCGCGTTTTTTAACATATGCTAGCGTGTCTAACTACGGAAACCCGGCCAGTTTAGGATGTAAGTCGGATTGTGATTTGATGTCCACAGAACGTCGACTTACCTATCCAGCAGATGTTGGCTGGACCATCCCCTTCACGGCTGTCGCGACGTCTCTGACCGCGATTGTCTCTCAAATCTTTCTGGCCCACAGGTGAAAAACTTGGTAACTGTATAATTTGACCGATACCAAGGATGATGGCAGGGTATATCTTCTCACCAACAGCGAAGCGCTGTTTTGTTCCATCTCTTTCTTGTCGGTGCTAGGCTTTGTCTTTGGCTGCGTTGCTGGCATCAAGTCTGGGATTATCGACGAGTGCATCTCTCACAACCGCAGCCAAAGATACGTTCTAACGCCACATGATCTTCACAGAGTAGCCAAATTTGGTCCCATAGCGGCATATGTCACCGTCTGGCTTGGTCAGGAAAACGGGTCTCATCGAATCCATCTCACGCATCCTCCAGCGTTCCAGACGAGCGCGGATATAGCCATCACCAGTACGTACGGACCATCTTCCATAGGCGCGCCTTTGTCACCTGAATGATTGGCTAGTGTGCCTTACCATTTCGTTGACACGTTCCAAGACTGGCTTCCGGGCCACAGACAGTGTCATCAATAAGCTCATCGGAGGAGCCATCAGGACGGGTGCGTGCTTTGCAGCCCGTCCTCCGCAGAGTCTAATGAGCTTTAGGGTTGTTCGCTTCAATGTTTGCATTCGGAGATTTGTTTTCGTTCCTTCTGCACCGAAACACCAACCTGTATGCGATGGTAATTTCTTCGCGTCTCGTGCGTTGGCGTTTGCTGATGCCGCTCTGATGTCGCAGTTTGCATACCCGATTGGGCGCATTTATACCAATGTGAGTCTTGTAGACGCACGTGCATTGGTATGCTACGAACGCCTCTCCAGACCTTGCTTCATACCCTCAATGCACGCGTGGCCCAGATTCGCGAGACAACACACTGTAAGCCCTGTTTGCATCCTTGAAGCGTGGCGTAACCGACAGGGTCTGTTATCAGATACACTTGTCGACCCGAGCTGCACCGATCACCCATGTCACCTCGGTTTTTGTTCGAAAGGAAGTCGCTACCGACGAAGGCTCTGAAGAGAGACTGGAGTAGGGATGTCAGTGTCAAGTACCACACTCAATGATCATACATCGTTGATGGACATGCCACCGAATGACATTTGCGCACCGACCGACGCAGCGGCTCGGCCTCTGTCCACACGCATGTCGGCGCGTTGCCGGCTAGGGCGTATTGCATTGTGACGGCGTACCGACCGACTTTCTAAGCCTCGACGTCCCTGGGACTACTCACCGGGCTGCAAGCCATTACGGATGTTGACCGTCACTGCGAACGATGATGACCGTTCACGAAACATATCATCCCCATGTGACAGATCCCCGACGAACTTGATCGTGTCTGTCACCAACACGCTGACGAACCCACTAGGACGAAAGAGACAA